ATTTAAATAGAAGACTTAAGTTTTTTCAAGTTGAAATTTCCCTACAAAAATTATTATAGTTGAGGGTTGACATAAACTTCAATGTGAACTAGACATCACACGGTAGGAAGACCCATGGCCGATTATTTGTACTCAGGGATCAGTACAACAATAAAACCATCTCTGCATTTTAATGTTTACTTGTACTTCTGCTAAGCAATTAAGTTTCATCTAGTCCTTTGTTTAAACAACTTGGCAGAATGATAAGAAAACACTGGCACACCATTGGGAGTTATAAAACTGCAAAAATAAATTTTTCCAAAAACCACATGTAATTCCATATAAACAACAAACAAATCTGAAGAAATCAGTCGAAAAACTTACGATACCATGGCAAATTAAAAAAAAAAGACCAAAACACACAAACCACAACATAGAAAACAAGTAAATAAGCATAACCGAGTGAGATCTTATGTGACTGAAGGGTAGCAGATTCTTTTCTGGCACCTACCGTGATGTTCTTGTAAGTACAAAACCGGTGAAATGCTTCTAATGATGAAGACTGTATGGTTGCCTTTAGATATATTTTGGCTATTTTTTTTTTTTTGGTATATTCTATTTATGTTAGAATATGTTTCTCTAATGATTAGCAAAGTCATTGAAATGTTTGATAAACGAAAGTTCTTGTCAAGCGCCTTCCAATTTTTTTATTCTTATGTCATACATTTACAAAATTGATGCGTAAAAATTAGATTTAAACAAGAATCAAATTGAAGCACACGATAAAAAGCATATATTATAGTAATCAACTTAAACAACACTTTCTGAAAGTCGAAATTGTTCCACGTATCAAAGATTTTTTTATAAAGTTGTCAATTTGTCTAACAGTTTACACATGTTAGCAGATTTCGATTCAGCCAGACAGCTAATAAAGGTTATGTATGACCTGTTAACTAATTGATCATCTACGCAGATAATCTGCAACCACACGTAGATTATTTTTTTAAACAGTGGGTTCATAAATGGTTAAAATGCCTGAGAAATGGAGATATCTTAATATGTTATAGTCTTTATTATAAATGCTATACTTGCGAATTGACATTAAGCATCAAGCAATGAACCATTCGGTCAACCATATGATATTGTGATGTTATTCTAATTCGTGGGATATCAATTAGAATTAATTCCGTTCGTATAGTTAAACCACGAATTGAAATGTTCAACGGATAACAAAAAATCTATACACTTGATTGTAGACTAGGAAAAAACCTAGAAATCGAATATCCATGAAAATACAATGTTTCCTCAATTAACAAAAACAGACTAATCCACAGTAGACTGTAAAACCAAATTTAGGTTTCACATCGTCGAAGAGATGTGTTAGAAATTTTTTTATCAAAAATATCAAACGTCATGGTAAATTCAAAAAGGTGAAAGTCCATAAAATCTGACAAAATCAAACGTAATACTTATCAGCGAAGTGGACGATTTGAAAACTATTCAAAACAACTGTCATATTCCTGACTTCATCACAGCAATTTTAATTGTACAAAATCTTCGTGTTATTTTTAAATATAACTTTCCTCTCTATAAACACTGTTTTCCATCTCATTAAAGCTTATCATTATTTAAAAAAAAAGTTAAAGTGTTAAAAAATCTGTCATGGCAAAATGGTATGTAAGTATCTATTTTACAGTTAGCTAGAAAAATTAATTGTACTTATAAACACGGTACGTTAAAAAAACTGTATATGTGTAACTTTAACACTTCGACTACATAATGAATCAGAAACGACACCACATAGGTGGTAAGAGGTTAGGAAATAACAAAATCACAGTAGCCTTATAATTTGTCAGTGCTATAACACGTAGCTGGTAATGTTTATGTTATCTTCTGTGATTTGTTTTTCCGCCGTGTATTTTTTATTCATTTTTTTTATTTGCCATGGTATTGTCTGTTTTATAATTGACTAATGGTTTTGTAATGCCTCCTAGGTAATTTTTCTCTTTTATTAAAAGTAGTTTGGACAGGGTTTGCAGAATATACCAAAATATCAGGAATAGTGAATAATTTGTCACAAAATGAAGAAAAAAATCACGGGTTACTTAAATACAAATGTATTAAGAATATATGATTATAAGCACATCATATACATAATATATACTAAAGGGCACAAAAAAACATGAATAGGGAAATACCTAATGAATTATGGAATACAGGCAAAAAAAAATTGTCTCCTCTAAGAAGGCAAAATAATCATCAACAAAATACCACATGTCTGACAGTATTAATCTAAATTATCTTGAGTTTTTAAAAGTTGTGATTCAATTTTAAATAAACAATCCACCATCTGATATTACTTCCCAATTCTCAACTATTTGCTATTTCTCAATTCTTCATCTTCATATAGTACTAAAAGATATACCCTTGAACAATGCCTTAAACAGTTTAATGCTTACCCCTTGTCATAAGTAACAATACGGTTCGTGCAACACATGTTGGGTAAGCTAAAAAGTCGTCAGTTTTCAAATTACATTAAACATGTTAAGGACGTTAAATTCCACTTTAAAAAATAAAAAACACATTAGTTAGAGAAATTGTAAGTTCTATTGCTCCCACCGTAGAAGAGGGCTCATCAAGAGTTACCATCCTAAGTCAGTACGTTACAAAATTGATTTCCGTCTCTAACTTTAGTTTGCCTCAAACAAATGTTATGAAACTTATACACAATGCTTACTACCACAAAACACAAATCAAATTTGAATTTCGGTGGCGTCATTTCTAGAATTATGGTTTTTACACATGAAAAAATTTCTGAATTTAGTTTTCGTTCCCTAATTTAAGTTGGCTTCAACCAAATGTTTTGAATCTTTGACACAATGGTTATATCCACAAACCTCATATCTAGTATTTTATTGGCGTCAGTTTTACTGTTCTAGAGTTATGGCCTTTACAAACAGAAAAATTGCTGAATTTTCGTTTCCGTTCTCTAACGTAAGTTTGCTTCCACCAAATGTTATGAAACATATACACAATATACAATTATGGCCTTCATGAAAAGTTAATATCCAAAATTATTAAATCGAGGAAATAATTCGAGATTTAATAATTTTGAATATTTACTTTTCATGAAGACCATAACTGTATTATTATACTGAACTGAATACAAAGATATTGTTTTCCTTGAATGAACATAAAAAAATTGAGATAAAAGTTCCTCTCGACTAAACTAGAAAAAAAATCAAGATTTCTCATAGATCTCATAGATTTGTACGTATTGCATACTTATTCAAGCATATAAACGCAATAGTTGTAGCTGTTCAGTGCTTGTTTAGTCTTTGAGTCTCAAATGTTTTCAATTTCCAGATCCGAGAATGGGCAAAATGTTGAGGCGGCTGCCATATTTTCCAGATATAAACACGCGATATGACGTCTTTAGCTTGTTATTATTTTGACGTGCAAATGTGCGCCAGTTATTATTTGCTACGCGGTTATTCCTGAACAGTTATTTTACCTACGCGCATATTCCCAAACAGTCATTTTGCCTACGCGCAGATTCCCAAACAGTTATTTTGCCTACGTGATATTTGCCGCGGGAAAAGGGTGTTGTTCTCCATGAAGAAATACAGTTTTATCTCAATTATTTTATTAGTGGATCTATAGTAAAGTATTATAATACTTATTACCACAAACCGTACTCCAAGTTCGAATTTAGGTAAATTCACTATTACAGTTCTTGAGTTATGTTCCTTTATAACGTCACATACAAGCGAGGACATCATCTGTGTCCTTTACACAATCTCCACGTATTTTATTCTTTAAATTCAGGCTTACATGAGTGAAATAGATCTTTTTTTTTCTCTCTAAATTATATCAAATATAATTGAACATTGATAATTAGACTGTATGGTGTAAATAAACTCATCATAGATACCAGGATTCAAATTTTTTATTTGCGCCAGACGTGCGTTTCGTCTACAAAAGACTCATCAGTGACGCTCGAATAAAAAAGTTAAAAAGGCCAAATAAAGTACGAAGTTGAAGAGCATTGAGGACCACAAATTCCTAAAAGTTTCGCCAAATACAGCTAAGGTAATCTATTCCTGAGGTGGTAAACGTCTTTATGATGCATTATGTAACTGTGTATGGTTTATGTTGAGGTGTGTTTTGAACAATGAAAAGAATTGAAAGGTTCCTGATGAATGATGTATTATTTTTTAATTTTAGATCGTTTTAGAGAAGGATTTGTTTACAAAATAAAATTGCCACTCTATTATACATGTTATATTTGTTCCAGTGTAGGTTGTGGGTTATTTTGAATGTTGTGAATTGTAAAAATAATCAAATTGGAAAAGGGAACTGTGATTAGTGCATGGTGTATTGTGTAGTGGTGTATGATGTAAGGGGTAACGGTGTATTGTGTTATAGGAAAGTTTATAACATACAAGGAATGTAGTTCTGTGAGAGTAATTTTATTTTGTCACAAATGTCAATTTACAAGACACAATCCCTTGTGTAATTCGGTATTTTTTTTCACATCTACTGACCACTCTGATTCTAATATATATCTTTCTTGACAGCAGAAACAAAGTGTGATGTGTGATTTCTAGATGTACAAAAGTTAAAATGTATGCAAAACATTCCTCAAAAATGAAAACTTTAACATTTGTCAATTATTGTCACAGAAATAGTTTTATATAAAAACATTCTAATTTTCAATTCACTACATGAAAATGGCAAAAAGTGACGTTGTCATACAGTTATGTGTTCTAATGATGTCGTTTGTTTATTTATTGTTTCTTTAAGTTTTGTTTACTTGGGCATGTTGGGGTTTCAACATCTTGATCAGACAAATAAATAGCTCATTTTACCAACTTGATAGAGTATTTCCTTTCAGACGGAGTAAATCAATGCATACTAGTATGAATACAACAGTTTGTTTTATAATCAAACATATTTAAATATTAAATATATCTGGATACTTTCCACAATCATCATTATGTGTGCAATCAACACACTGATGCGGCGACTTGAATGCGCATGGACAGCCTGCATTCTGACAACACGCACATGTAAACGTTCCCGGGTCGTCTACACACTCACATCCGGTTAAACTTGCAGTGAAATGATCTATTTCTAAAATAAAACAGCAGTTGTTATGTATGTGATTGGACGATAATGATAGATAATTATTTTTTTTATCTTTTACTTTGTATTCCCATTTCACTGCTTTATTATTGCGTTCATTAAATAAAAAAAATATGCATTCTCAAGTATTTCAGAAAATCTAAATTCTGTTAAAGATAAATTGAAAATCATTTACATATCTATCACAAGATCCAAAAAACATAAAAAGAAAGAACAATAACATTTCAGATTTAATTATTTTGTTCATTGCATTTTACACCTTTTAGAAGAGTTCAGGTTTTACAAGTTACTAATTGTAACTGCTATTAATTATTCCGAATTTCAATTCAAGAGAAAAAAAGCAAATGTATTATGCTCTCTTTCTAAGACTAGAAGTTGGCATTCCACAAGCAAGGTAAAGTAACCCCCTTTGTTCAATAATTAACTATGTATTTATGTATAAGACTAAGGCGAAGCGGTCTGATTGCCAATGAAATAATTATCCACCAAGGTGATCGTTCAAATGACGACGATATAACCAATTATCGGTCTCCTTACGACATGTAACCTACCGAAATCGACGCATACCATCGGTTTGTACTTACATGTGGAACAATTGATGATTACCCTTCTAAAGTTTTTTTTTTAGGTTTGTGATGCGCATTCTTTGGTTTTCTATGTTATGTGTTGTATACTGTTGCTTGACTTTTGATAGTTTTTTCCATGTTAGCTATGCCATTCGCAGTTTTATTTCGTCTAATGAATTTTAATGTCCCTTTAGTATATTTTGCCTCTTTACTGCCTTCAACAATGAGAAAAATCCCAACCGTTTTGTCAGTTTTAACAGGTGTCAACATGAAAAACGTGAAACAATTCAAACGAGAGAAGTAACGTCCCGATTTATAACACTGAAATTTACGAAAAACAAGTACGAGTACTAATATAAATAAACAGAAGTAGAGAAACAATGACAATGATGCTATTATGACAAATACGAAACATTGACAACCACTGAATTACAGGCTCCTGACATGGGTCATGCACTTAAATAATTTGTTGGGATTAAAATGTTAATGAGCGTTCAACCCTCTACTTACCCTGAACATAGGTGTATAATCACAACATACGAACAAAATTTCAAAAATCCGTATCAAATCGCTTAACTTTAAGGATCATTTCGAAGCCAAAAAAAATTAACATAAAACAATAAACATAAAGTACCGATATAAGAGTTCTCGCATTTATCGCAGCTATTTTAAAGTCAATCACAACTAATGAATAAATCATATTCTCTCAGACTGAAGTCCCTCTCATCCCAAATGAGTATATACTTTCGGGTTTTCTACCCACTGATATCGTCAAATATTATCCGCTATCCACAATTTGAACTTTAAGGCAAGGGAGCGAAGCGAAAATGCAAAAACGCTTCACATTGTGTCGAGTGGCTGATATTTTACTATATCTATACATAGAAAATCCGAAAATATGTTTATCGTTCTATTACTGTTCTTTTCTCCTCCTTTCGACGATTTTAATCTTAATTAAAGTAAACTTGATTACGTCTCCTCACATAATGGGACGTCGCTTCTAAATTCTCCTCAGACATTGTGACGTGGCTGATAATTCCCGTTCACGTCTCAAAAGCATGACACAATAATTATGAAGCGCCTGGGCACGATGATATAGGCGAAGGGAAGGACAATAAGCAATTTTATGAAGAGCTAAGCAGAGTGGTACAGACAGTGCGAACACCGAATGTACGGTTTATATGATTTTTCTCTTTCAATATCACATTTCATCAAACATCAACCAATATACTATCTCGCCAAAATCTCTTGAGATTCTGTTGGTGTCTCAGGTTGATACGGGTGTGATATTAAAAAGCCATTTAATATTTTCAATAAATATACAATAGCATGACCTATATTTATTTCGTACTAACCTTATACCCTTTGATCTGTGGTCCAGCCATGTTGGGTTACAGACGGCTTGCATATTTGTTGTTTTGAATTCTGCTCTCCTTTCCTTCTACATCGTTGGTCTATTTTACATGTGTTTGGCTAATGAATAATGTTAAACGATTAATCCCTTTATATATTAGACAAACTGTTTAGAAAGAAATCACTCGAATTGTATATTTTGCTGCCATATTCTACTAAGCGTCATAACATACAGTGTATACCATTGCATACTGTCAGAAACAATGATACTGATACCGAAGATTCATGACAACTTGAATTAGATTTATATTAAAACCATAAATGTTTACAGAAAATTGATCAGCAGTTTTTAAAGTTATGTTTTTTGTTGTATAAAACATAATTGTCACCAACAAAATGGTAACGCTTTTTTATCGTGAAATTGTTAACTAAATTGATTTCTCTATATTGTATTCCTTCCATCTTTGGGTACAGCTCCTTATTGTATGCAGAATATAAGTTTGCTGCTCGTTTTATTTTTATATAACAAAATAACAATAAAATTTAAAAAAAAATAATAATTATAATAATAATGATAATAATAATAATAATAAGAAGAAGAAGAAGAAGAAGAAGAAGAAGAAGAAGAAGAAGAAGAATACTGATAATGATCGTAATGAAACCTATTTTATGCCTCGGCGAACATATCTTGTTAGATAATTTATGCATTAAGTTTCAATTTAGGCGATGGTGTATCAACAACTAAAGTAAGTTAAAAGGATATGACATACATTCATTTAAAACAATATTAAGAATGAGTTAAATTACTAAACGTTTCATCCACAAATGAACGTGTTCTAAAACAATCATTATTTTAGTCATTTGACAATTTCTTTTAAGCTGTTACAGGCGCGTCATACTATGATTATATTATAAATACCTTTAAGGTGCAATTGCCATCTTCTTTACATGCTTGACACAATGAGTCAAATATGATTAAAGTTTCCTCATTGCTATACTGTTGTCCGTCTGTTGTAATACTTATTTTAAATCCTGCAACAACTGCACCTGTAAAGTGTTATTTCATAAGGTCAATGTTCATAATATAAAAATAAGGAGATATGGTATGCTTGCCAATGAGACAACTATCCAAGTTCAAATGAAGTGGATGTAAGGAATAACAGATAACCGTAAATATATTAGCGATCAAATTTAGTCTTGTTGCTGTTTACTTAATTGTATAAGTCGAATACTATAGATGAAGTGTTAATTTTAAAGTCTTTAACAACGCATTCAACAAAGTAATATTACGTCTTTTTATCGGAACAATATTGTTAATAGGGCTTATCACTCTGAACTACACTCGTGTCCTCTGAACAATGTGACATATACATTTGTTAAAAGTGCAATTTAACAAGGATACCTTATTCATCACCACTTGAGTCCTTTTAAACGAATCAAACACCAGAGGTGTTCTTGGTAAGTTTTACGAGCTTTATCTTTTGTTAAATTAGTTTGTCATCTTAGAAGCATCAAGACGCTTCCTAAAATCATACCAAGGGATAGGTGTACAGTGAAATTTTTATCTAAAATGCTTTTGATGATAACTATTGTTACAATTGTGTTTTAAGTCTTTTTTGTAGTAAAACGACTATAAAACAAAAACGAATTGAATATTGAACACGATTTTGATTAGCATCTCACTTTGTTTAGCAACATTGATGATTATCAACACAAAGAAATAAGGATAATGTACCCGTTATTTGTTTAACACCCAAGGTCGAAATCTAAAAATGACAAATCCCACTGGAATTTTAACAATCTATTCCATATACTAGTATATTTGTCAACAATCTGATACATTTTTTTCGAATGAAATATTTTAGCGGTAAGTTTTAAAGGCATTTCCAATAATTCTATAACATTTTGCATTTATTTAGATAACGTATCTAACCGAAATGAATTATTTTCGGTTTTGCCCTCAAAAAATATTTTGGAGGAAACATTCAAAATTGCCAAAAAGGTAAATATAGCAGTCATGTTCTATGCTCAAGAATATATAGATGCATGTTTTGTTTTGAATTAAGCCATAGCATTAGGTGAACCTCAAAGTTGATAAGCTAAATGATGAACCTGATGTATATAGCGGTACATATAATGTGACAACAATCCCAGGAACACAAAAACCAAAAACCTAGATCAGCTTGAGGAGAAAATGCAGTATTCAACCAAAGACAAGTCTCTGTACAAACTACAATATGTGACGCTCTTTAAAGGCGAGACTCTATAACAAATGGAAAAAACTTAAAAGAGAACACCAAAGATTAACATTCAGTACTAAACTTTTTATATTAAAAAAATTAAAAAGTTCCTTACTTTGTGTTTTCCAATTAACAATGTTAACCGTTTGGCTTACTAAATATCAAGCCTGGTATAAGTCTGACATGGAACATATGGTTGTAATTTCAATAATCAAAAAACATGCATGCTGTATGACTAAACCAAATATCATTATATAAATGTTAAAACATATTTTGTTCTAATATCATACCATTTGATACACCTGATGGTGGCAGAGAACATTCTAATTCATTAAAACTTGTGAATATTCCTTTTACAAGTATGTGTCCTTTTCCTTTGTCGTCTAAAAGTTTTCCATTTTCCATCTAACAACAAACAGTTGAAATTAAAACAAATTAAATTAACTTTAATGACTCTTCAAAAATATTGCTTTCCAAAAGAAAATTGTATCAAACATTTTTCACCGATGTATGTGTTTTTAGTAACTTTTGAGAGCTGTAAATGTAGCTCGCACTGAGAAGCACCGTTCAAAATAAATGTTGTTTCATATTTAACAGTCTTTTAAATTATGTAAAGATATGTTAAGATAGGTTGAGATTATGAAAATTTTTAGAATGTATAATTTTCCATTTTTTTATCAGTTTTAGTTGTATAAAGTAATATTCGTTGGACAAAGCGGCATAACACATATCTGTTTTATTAAAAACTGTATGTGTTTTATTACTCTTAGACTGGTGTTTTTTTTGTTTTTTTTTTTGTCTCTTTGTCACAGCTTCTGAATACAAAAAAAATGAAACTAAATGAAAAGTTGGATATTTTTATAAAATTAAAAATCTGTGTAAAAAGTAAAATAACAAATATACCGAACTCCAAGGAAAATTCAAAACGGAAAGTCCCTTCCCAAATGGCAAAATCAAAAGCTCAAACACATCAAATGAACCGAATAATACATTGTTAAAACAATCGTTTTATAGATTTGATACAGAATGCTATTTATTAACACAATTTTGCTATTCCTTTTATACCTTTTACAATGTAGTTGGAATGAATACATATATGGACTGCGTGACAGTTTCCATCTGTCAATCCATTTCAAGACATATTCCCTGCGATAAACCCACAACTGTTTAGACATTTTGCGTCCCGAAAAGAAATGAGATTTGTCTACATTCAAAATGTATGCATTTTTTATTAACCTGAACAGACAGTTATAATCAACTGTTTGAAAAAGGACTGAAATTAATTAAAGCAACTGCATGTGAAACGTCTGAATACTACTCAAATATTTTAAAAATTCTTAGTCTTCACCACACTCAGTTATAATGTTTAGATATTTCAGAATGCGTTAAAAACAAAATACTCATTTAGTCTTAGTCTATGGTACTTATTATTTAACATGACAAAACAAAATGCAGTAGTTAACATGTCAATCCAACACTATTTGCCTATGTTGAGCTGGCAATATAAAAATAAGAAGGTGTGGTATGATTGCCAACAAGACAACTCTCCACCAGAAACAAGATTTCTCAGCATTTTACAACTATAGGTCACCGTACGGCCTTCAACAATGAGCAAAACCCGTACCGCATAGTCAGCTATAAAAGGCCCCAAAATGACAAATGTAAAACTATTTAAACGAGAAAACTAATGGCCTGGTAACAGTACAACATAAGAAAAAACTATAAAAGTCAGCTGAATTTACTGTGAAATAATATTACGTTACATAAAACATTCGTAATATAATTATGAAATGTTTGCTTAGCATTATTAACATTAAGAGCTTTTTTGTTAACAATCAGTTGTTTGTAGATATTGGAAGATGTGGTATGAGTGCCAATGAGACAACTCTCCATCCTAGTCACAATTTTTAAAAGTAAACCATTATAGGTCAAGGTACGGCCTTCAACACGGAGCATTGGCTCACACCGAACAGTGCATTTTAAGTCCAACCACTAGAGTCTCTTGTCGGTGTTGGTTACAATTTCAACATATCCGTTTTAATTAACCTTACCTTTAAGTATTGAACACGACACTGTAAGTCAGGACTGTACATCAAATTGTCTGCTATAATATATGAAGTTCGACAGTTTTCTTGACGAATATCACATAAACTATCTACGTCGTCCTCTCTGGAAATAATAGTGGTGCAGGGGTTAAATTCTGAACTATGTATAGCTTTCAGTGATACAAAACTCAGAAAAATTATGTATGGTACAAATGATTTAAAACATTTCTAAATAGATTTTTCAAAAACCAAACGAATCATGCTGGTATAAGGGTGAGTAGGTTTCTTCAGCATTTTCTCTAATTATAGGAAATTTAAGACTTACATTTTGGTTTACACAGTGGATATATTGTCAAAAAAATACATAATTTTCAAATGATAGATGAGAGTTGATTAACATATCATACCACTTCTGTAAAATTCAAAGTATTTAAATTAATATGGTTTAAAATTTAATTAACGATCCAAGCCTTAACGTTCGTTTCAAGTTTTTTCAAGTTGTATTGCGTTCTATTGATAGTATTAAACCGTTGTTGTGAAATAGTTGCGACAAAGAATTTCTTTTTCCAGCAAATATGCTAAGCATGCGACAAACATTTGATTATTAACGCTTAAATCAATAAACATGGTAGAATTGAAAATAACACTTATATGTTTGTTGTGTCTGAAGCACCCTCCCTTACTAACCTTCATAAAGAACGATTATGTATAGATAATTCCAAACGAAATATGTATACGTACCTGAACACGGGTAGACTTATATGATAGGAAAGGACATAAACATGTGATCAAAGTAAAGCAAAATTGTGCTGATGTGAGTTTGCCTGAGGGAGCTGGAACTTTCCTTTTCTTACTATTACTCAATTTATCAACTAAAAATTTAATTTCAAAAATATGTTAATATTTATGTCAGTCCTTTTACTATGTTTACTGAGATGTTTTCAATTGCCGAGTGTTTCCTTTTTTTACTCTATGTTTTTGCACTTGTCACTTTCTTCCTTTATTTAGGCATGCCTTGATTAAGAAATTTTATATTTTTACTCATACCCATAAATAAAATGAATAAAAGGAACGGATCCAACTTTTACTGAGCAATCTGGTCCATGATATCCACTGTTGCACAGACATTGACCTTGATGACATATTCCTTTCATGCTACACTCATTTGGACAAACATCAGAAGTGACGTAATCTGGAAGTACTAATTGACCATTTTTCCCAGTGACGTAATATTTTATATCGCCAGCAATGGTTATCTGGCAAGCCTCATTGTAGACAAGAACGAAGTTATCCAAAAAATTTAGACTGTCTGTTATCTACAAATAAAAACACTAAACACAGTGAGTACGACAAAAAATAAACACAAAGGTCTCGATGAATAGACGCTACCTCAGAACTATTTTTTGGGGGGTCTACACGTATTCGAAATGATTATAAGAAAGGTTTTAACTGTACCATAATGCGACACTCCTTATCATAGAAAACACAATTGACTGAAATAAGGTAGTAACTGCTAGATACATAGTCAATAAACAGGTGCTGTTGAAAAGACGCTTCATTAAATAGAAAGTTTCATAGGAAATATAAGTTATCATCTATTTTGTTATAAAGTTACGTTCTAAAGATACCCTCGATGATGTTCATATTTAGGTATTAGTCAAAACATGTACAGACCTTTCTGTGTATCTACGATATTCAGAAATTCATTGTCACTTGAATATGTTACAAGTATATATTTATTTATTGTCATGATGATTAATGTATAAAGTATCGTGAAAATATTGCAATGAAACTCTGTAGTGCTTTTACAAAAGCTTTCAAATCATTAAATGCAATAATGCTTATACATCCAAACCTTGATGTCTTCTGTACAGCTATCCATCAAAACCATAAAGTCATCAACATTTTCTCTGCAGTGGGGATATAAGGATGCTTTTTGGAATGCTTTCCTGCATAAATTTATTGCATACGAGAGTGTTTTGCCTGATTGTGTTGGCCACGTAAGGAATGATCTTTTGCTGATATGGTTTTCTGCAAACACATAATTGCTATTGACAATATGAGATGATACGGTTATTTACTATTTCTATCACCAAGACAAAAATTTATACAAAAGACATTGTTAACAAAGTGTATTCTTTTGGTGGTCATGTTGTAACCAGCTACTTGTAAATTCATTCATTGTATTGGCTTCTTTTTGCATTGTGTTGAGTGGTACCCTAATTTTTAGTTCATTCAATTGATATGCGATATAGAGATGCTAAAAATACCCACGGGATACTCAAAATCAAAAGTCGGAAAGAAATTAACAACGCCATGGCAAACAAAACAGACCAAACAAGGACAAAAGATTGTATACACAACATAGAAAACAAATGACTGAGCAACATGAACCCCACCAAAAAATGGGGGATGATATCAGGTGGTCAGGAAATTATTTTTAATTTAAAATAGATTGGTTTATGTTTCAAACAAACAATACTTCGTCGACCTCGATAGGTAATTGGTTTATTGAAATGTATATTTATGTTATTAACAGTCTTAAGAGTGTTCGTCATCTTTCCAATAAGACCTGACAGTAGAGAAGGTGTAAGACAAGTCTTTGTTGTGTAATTTGCTCTCTTACCTGAAAAGCTAACAAGAGGCTGTCAGAGGGACAGCAAACCGGATTTTTTTATCATTTATTTGTGTCCTGGCATTTTTCAATATCACAAGGAAAATAACTCCTGAACGGTAAAAGTGACAATCATTGATATTGTCATCAGTAATAACATATTAAAATTTGAAAAGCTTTGGTTGAACGGTTCACGAGTTAAAGCATGGACACGACTGCAAACACCATTTTTCAATCTTTCAATAACCATAACTCCTGAACGGTGAAAGAGAAAATCGTCAATATCGATCTTGACCTCCATTTTGTCATCAGTAACAACATAATAAAATTTGAAAAGCTTTGGTTTATCGGTTCATGAGTTACAGCATGGACACGACTAGAGACACCATTTTAAATCTTTCAAGAACCATAACTCCTAAACAGTGAAAGTGAAAATCGTCAATATCGAACTTGACCTCAATTTTATCATCAGTAACAACATATTAAAATTTGATAAGCTTTGGGTAAACGGTTCATGAGTTTCAGCACGGACACTACTGGAAACACCATTTTTCAATCTTTCAAGAACCATAACTCCTGAACCGTGAAAGTGAAAATCGTCAATATTGTACTTGACCTCCATTTTGTCATCAGTAACAACATACTAAAATTTGAAAAGCTTTGGTTGAACGGTTCATGAGTAAATGCTAGGACACTGTTTTGCAGCCGACCTCCCGGCCGCCCGTATCCCGCCCGCCGTACATTCCCAAATCAATAACCGATTTTTACTTCGTAAATCCGGTTAAAAAGTGAGATTCTATTTTTGAACGACTTAAAATTGAACTAATGTATGACCATCGGTGTTTTTTGTGCAATCTAAAGTTTTAGATTTACCAATTAATTGATCATATATATAATTTCAAGGTATGGAAGATGGTCATGAAATCAATTTAATTTCACAGTTATTTTTGTTTGATAATTTCATTGTTAATATTTAGTTATCTTTTTAACGTTAGTGTTTATCAAAGTTTTTTTTTCCCATTTCGAACTGCTGCTGTGATATAAAATATTGAAATTCTATTCCTCCATGATAGCAAATAATTCATTAAATTTGCCTTTAAGAGAAAATAAAATGATGTCTTAATTTTGATTTTATCAATAAAAAAAGGTATCCGTGTCACCTGTTTGTTGAGTTGGAGTATCAAAACTTCGCTTTCCATTTGGATGTTTCTTTGATGAAAGAAGTTGTAGTCCTTTATTACCATTATATACCTGAAACATTGTTTTTTCGAAAATCATTCGAAACAATGGTAGCGAAAGCGAAGTTTAAAGTAAGTATGATTTTTTTTTCTTTCTGATTTTTCAGTGATCGGTCATACAATAAACCTTTATCGATTTCATGATACGCAATTTATGTTTCTTATATTTGTTGGTTTTGCTTGTATATTAATCATGTATTACTTGAAACGTTTAGACATTATTCAGTTATTCCATCCAAAGTAGATGTGACATAAGTTAAATATATGTATACCTAATATTTCGTCCTATGCAGTTGGCTGTGTAATGTATTATTAGTTTGTTTTTCTTTTGTTTTCGAATTTTTTAATCTATACAGCAATAACATTTCATGTACTTGATTTTTCAGACCTCTATGTTTCAACACATAAATTCACGCGCATATATAGAAGAACCTTTCCATGAAGACGAAAATTATGTATTTGTCTATGCATGCATCAAAATTACCTGTTTAAGTGGATTTTTGGCTGACCCTGAACAGGAAGTGACGTTTTGAAGACACTGACAATATTCATGTCCTTTGCTGTACCGTGGGTTGATTATGGTTGACTTATTGTAAAACATAGACTGCGGTTTTGGTATGCTGAAATCAATAAATTATATTTAAGGTAGATAGGGTGTCTTCCTCCATCTTGGATTTTGTAATACCTGACAACAATCGGTCTAGATCTTTAATAGAATGTGCAAAATTTGAGAGTAGTAGGTAATTCATGTGTAAGAATTTTCATTTCAATATAGAAAATGACACGTTTTATCATATTTATGGTTGTATTTTACAAAAAAACAGAAAACTTTTGTTTGATTCAATTTTTTCCAACTTTGCCACATAAGGGGAGGCAACTCAAATGTAAGGGCAGATAATTCAGATAAAGGTACTTTTACAATAGAATGTGTTAGGAATTTACCTATTTTATTATGTAGCAAGAAAACGGGTCCGGTGTCCCCATTTTTTCTTTTTCTTATCTGAAAGCATACTATTAAAGCTATCTTCTCATATTTTATCTCAAAATTCTATGGTGTAGTTTTCGTTTTATGGCAGAAAATTGGATTTTCCATGCATAATCTATACAAAATCTGTTAATTTTGAACAACCTGTAGCATGAAAATAAGCCCCGTGACCCATTCTTTTTATCATTTTTTTTTAAAAAGCTTGATATAAACTACATTTTGGCAAATTATTAAAAAATTCTATGGATTATGATTTAGACACCCCATCTACCTTAAATTGGTTTTTTTTTTCTTTATTCCTACAATATAAAGTAGGTATGTGATACTGCGTCTATAATAATTATGCAAAGATGTTTAAGGTACATTGATTAGAATCATGATTTTGTTTATTTGCGTTGAGAAGGAGAAAATTAAAAATGGACATTGTAATTTTAATGTATATTCAAACAACATTTTGCTCTGCAGAATTTATAGAACAGACGTAGTATATAAGATATACGTGAATATATAACAAAACGTTATTTATATCAACAGAAACGCAGTCTCATAACAAAAAAACGACATGAGCAGGTCTCTTGTTTTTATTCTATTTGTGCTACGTATAAAAGAAATGGGAAGTTTATACACAGGTAAAACTGGTTCAACCCAGCAAAGTTTCGTGGTTGTTGGGTTAGGATAATTTATTCTAGGAATTGCGTTATTTTCATGATTTCCTTTGTAAATAAATAAGTAAATAAATGTTAAATATTATACTTTCCAAAGAAATTATCAAAAACAATTAGTCTTTTTTAGTGATTTCAATATGAAATCAGACGAATTGTTATTGTTACAAGTGAAGCAACTATCTTTTTGAAATAAAATAACGTCGATGCTTTGTAGATATTTTTGAAGAGATTTGCGTATCATAGGAGACTAACCAGTTGAAGCGAATTTGTCCTACTTAATAATTTGATCTCGAGTTTGTATTTTTGATAAACGGTTAACATTTTCGTTCCTTTGTTCAATACCCATGTTTGCATTGCATCTACTGCAGGTTTCAAATTTTGAATTAATTTTTAAAATCTTTTGTTTTTTTATTCCTGTTGGAAAAATGTATTTTCTGTGTTCGTATACTATATTTAATAGAAGATTGTCATTTGTGAGTTTGAACAATATGTAAGGATTGTTTACAAATGCTTGAAATGGATAACAGACATTAAAGGAGCAAATTATACGTTCAATAAGAACAGACAACGGCATTTCAACAACAAAAAGACAATGATAATAAAACATCACACATAAAAGTAAGGACTTGAAAACACGAATATCTCTCTCTTAAAATTGCAGAAGAATGTCATTACTGAAATTGTGAGTTAGAACGTTGTTTTGGCTATTGCGTTCGACTCTTAATGACCAACATTACACGTAGTCCTGTCGTAGAACGTAGGTTTTCTTCCGATCGGACGCTTCCGGCTATCTATAAACAATGTTCATCAAGATATAGTCAATTAAGGTTATAATGTTGACAACCACTTATATCCAATTGATCCGTCGACAGCAATCATACATTTTGTAGATTACTAATTCATGATATTCAAATCAGCATTCATTCCTTTTTTGAATGATTGGTGTCTTCTTGCATTCAATTTTAAACATTCATTTCCAGAATCATTTTGCTACGCACTAATGTCATGTTGCTTTTTTCCCTTATTTTAGTACTTACAACCATGATTTTGGAAACTCGCCATGTGAAACTGCTTTCGAGTCATTTGCCCAATCTTTGCCATTTCGGTCAATATATTTTCCGTCGAATGTTCCACAAAGTCCTTCTGCGCATCCTTGGTGGTCTGAAGGTATTTCTAAATTTATTGGGGAGAGTAAATGGTTGACGACATCTATTGATACCGTTAATCGTGCACCTGAAGGAAAATTTATCTGAAACATACATTTGTTAGAATTAACAATTTACCACACAATTTTAAGAAATTGTTGAAGAGCCGTTCTGTTTTTCTTCTCAATCTTATTATTGCATGTGGAAAGAAGGAGATGCATGTTTTTTTTTTCGATACAGCATCCAATGAAAAAGTCCAACGTGCAATACTACAATCGGTCTACATTCAATACAATTTCTTTACACATCAGGGTGCAAACAAAAACCGCAAAATATATCAACATTTATACTACTGTAGGCATACCAAAACAATGAAGAATTATGTTTTCTGTCGTTAATAAAGTAGAGAAGTTTGAGAAGCATGAGTTACGACTTAAATCTATGTTTTTCGGATCTACTTACAATTACTCTGTTGTTTGTAAATAATTATGCTAAAAGGTAATTTACGATTAAATACGAGGACCATTTGTTTACCTTCCAGAAGCACTGGCTCCGGAGTTAAACATTTTCTTTTTTAAGCGAAATCTAAAAACATAACCTTCGTGCTAAAACAGACACTGGCGTATTAAATCAATAGCGTGTATTTTGAATAAGTTTTATGTAAAACAAAGACATAAGCTTCTTTTCAAAGAATATTTGGCTATGTAGATAAAGAGTACCGTTGATAATCCCAATTGTTGGATAGTTAATACAGTTTGAGTGATTGATGCATTTGTGTTTAACGCCACTTTCAACACTATAGTGCTATTTCGTGGCGGTCAGTTTTTATTGGTGGAGGAAACCGGAGTGCCCGAAGAGAACTTACGACCTTCGGTTGAATAACTTACAATCTCATTCAAGTAAGATTAGTGTCGATTGCACCTGCCCCGTGCAGGTTTCGAACTCACATCATCAGTGTTGACTGGCTAGTGATACAGTAGTTAGACTACTTAGACCACTCGTCCACCGAGGCCCCTAGTTAATATAGTTTAACATTAGTTAGACAAAAATAATGTCTATGATTGTGGCCTCCGTGTTTGTGTCGAAAAGGCAAATCTGATTCATTGGTATATATTGTGTGTGTGCTGATTTGGGTTTTTAGGGGTTTGGATTTGAGACATCTTTAAGGAACGGACAAAACACAGGCTTGGAATGAAAATGAGCATTTTACTAATATGGTATATATATTTCAAAATATGTCAATTTTAAACTTCAAATTTGAAATGTCATCTGGCATACTAATACACCTACCCTTTTAATGTATGTAAGATATATCTAATGATCTCCAAAACATAGTTTTATAACAAAATGATAATGTTAACGAAGTTCGTCTTGAAAAATATCACTTGGTTCAATAGCAAATTTTATCCGGACATACTTCACGACGCCCACAAAAAAAAACACGAATACGCAGTTTTAAGGTATTGTCAATGTGCACAATTAATAATTAACAAATCAGGTATGCGAAACACTTAAATTGTGTACCTGTTAATCTACCTGTTGCTGCATTTTCCCAACTTTACTTATTAATGTTTTTCTTTTATTTTGGTGATTTAATGAGTCCGTCAGTTAAAGTAGTCCGTAAATACTTACATAAAACTTTCTACCGCCAACATCAGTGTGGAATGTCGTGCCATCATTTAATTGTTTGTATTTAGACAAGAAGAACACATTTTTTCTGTGGGTGCAGCCATTAATTTCGACAATATCATTCCCTTCTCTTGCTACAATTCCGCATATACAAGCATTTATCTTACTTCGGCTCGGGTAACAATCTTGGTTGGCCTGAATGTGAACCTAACAATATAATAGATTACAAAATTAATTAGGTGTTCTATCTTTTAACCAAAAATAACTACATTTGGCTGCCGTATTGCAATTGAACCAGGTATATGCTTTTAAATAATTCATTTCATAACTACATTCAGGGATAATTATCTGCAAGAGAAACATATTTATGATAAGGTTGGTAGAATAGAGAATGGAAACGGGGAATGTATTTAAGAGACAACAACCCGCCCACAGATCAGAAATTAGCCCAAGCTATGATATTATCATTAAATAATTGATATGATCCAATAAAGTTGTTTTTATAATGATATTTAATTTCTTTAAAACTTTCCTCGTGTCAGCTTGTTATGCAGAACCAT